GTAATTTTATAATTCTTTGTTAGTTATCTCGGAGTTACCTATATTTTCAGTATTATAAGTATTAGTTTGTTTAAGCTTAATTTTAATACGTACATAGATAGTATTTTAATGACACTATGGCTGAGTCATAGTAGTTAGTTGAAGTCTGGGTGAATTTTATTTAATGGGTTGTTCTGGTGGAAATGTAAAACAAGTAAAAATGTACTTGATCTCTGTCCCATCTTTAGAGTCAAAGATGTCAGCCTTTTCCTCGGCTTGTAAAACTATCCCTGTTTCACCTTCATCCAGAGAACACACCTGTGACTCTGTTGGGCTGATCTTGAGCCAAGGTGGTTGTTTGTCACATGATCAGGGGCAGATGTTGGGAACTGAGCTCAGTTTGATGGAGATGACAGAGGTTGAATACACACACCTTCAGCACCTTATCCAGGCACAGGTGGAGGCACAAGCCGGGTCTCCAGATGGGCCAGATGCCAGAGGTCACCCTGCTACAGTGACGGTTAAAGACGCCACTGGATCCACAGTGATTTCTCCCTTTACAACCACTCAAGCTATTGACCTGTCAACTTCGACAGATGAACATTGTCTGGTGATGCCAGGAGAAAAGACACCAGCTTCTTATGCAGAGGTCCCAGGTTTTGTGATGGCCAGAATCAGAGGTGAAAACAGTCCAAGTGAACCACCTGCCAGCAGCAGGACATCTTCACTGAAGCGATCCAGATCAGCTGCTAGAGTTTGCTTGGAGAAAAGGTTCAACACAGTGTCTGCTGACACCCCAAGAAATGATATTCAGTCAGCAGTTCTCACCAAGTAGGCTTGACTATTATACTTTATTGCTATTTATTAGTAAATATAATGCTGATATACTCATTTTTTTATGGAATTTGCCAAATCCCTGTTGTGTTTCAGTTTTTTGACAATACTTCAGCAGTCTGCAGAGGCTCATGAGGCAGTCATACATCCACAAATGCAGAAGTGGATGAAAACTGACAGACCAAATCCTTTTGAGGTTACAAATGTAGGGGGTGTATTTAACCCTGTCACCAACATGTGTGGTCAGGTGTGGTGAAAGAAAATATACACAGGATTTTTTATCATTAAAGCTTTATAGCAGGATTCATTGTTTAATCATTTGTGTCTGTTTTTATTTCAGGTATTTGGCCATATTCCTCATATGGTTGAATCTAGCAAGCACCAGGGTTTAATCATCCCCAAGAGTTTTTCATTTAATGTTTGCCCAGAGAGGGTTGTTACCAAAGCTCACCATACCAGCAGTAGCAACCCAACAGAAGAGAAGAAGTTAGTGAACATAAAAAGTAATAGTAAGTACTTTCACCCTAACTTTTTTCAAAAACTGTAGTTATTTTGTTGTTGTCTACCATACTACACCGCAAATACACGCAAAAGTTTGTATCTAACTGAGTCTCACACACTCATATTTTTTCATAGATGATGACGTGACACCTACTGCTTCCAGGAAAAGTGGTAGTGCCCGCAGCTCTCAACCCATCAAGGCTGCAAAGGCTGCCTCAGAGTCAGCTGGAGAGACAGGGAGCAGCACAAGGAAAAGAGCTCAGTTTTGTATGTCACATAGCCAGCGCAGGGAGAGACACAACAGTAAGGAGAGGGAGCGCAGGTGAGCAGTCATTACAACAGCTAAAAGTTTCACTACAACCTCCACAATTTTTGACATGGTCTGATGAAATACCCATTACATTTCAATACTCTACTACAATACTGAAATACATTTCTTTTCTTTTTAGTCACAAATTTGGCCTCTTTCAGGACTTACATATTACTTTGGGAGTGTAACATTGTTAAATTTTAAGTGCAGTACAGGCTGTGTCCAGAATTATTCTCTTCTTTTCTCACTACACACTATTCCCTACATAAAAAACACACAGTAGTTTTGTCCAGGAGTATCCAAAGTTGCTGATGCAACACCCTTGGGTGCCTTGAGTATGAGCCAAGAGTGCTGCAACATTTAGTTCCATTTTTTACTGTTCATATTTAAGAGCTTTTCCTCACGTGAAAAACAGAGGCAACATTTACAGTCATGGGTACAGCCAAATTACTGTATTTAAAACCCTTAAATATACAGGTATGTGGCAGCTACTGTAAGACTGTTGATCTCTCAGTTTCTGGCTGTCAGTAGTATTGCAACAAATTTTTCAGGTCCACAGCTGTCAGAAATAAGGAAAGATGGAAAGATTTGTTTTTGTAAACAGGGAAAATGGAAAAAATACTATAAAAGGGTTCTGTAGTTCCATCTGTACTTCTTGAAACAGAATTTATCATCTTTTGGTTTGTGACCTAATGTGTAGTTGCTTTTTTTGTTAGATATAAGTTAATATATTTTTAATTAACCTATTTAACATATTTCCAATGTGAGAATTCCCCACTTTTCTTGATGATATTGTAGTGAACTGAATATTTTTAGTATAGACTCTTGGTCAGACAAAATAAGACAGTATTTGACGTCTACTTCGGCTCTCAGATTCTTTTGACATGCATTTGGCACTGTTTTCTGATGTTTTATATGACAGTGAAAATAATTGTTAATTGCAGCCATAGATAGATCCCATTATGTCTTACATAAGCTGATGAGACAAGGTCAAGTCAAGTCAATTCAAGTCAATTTTTATTTGAATAGCGCCAATTCACAACATACGTTATCTCAAGGTACTTTCCAAATAGAGCAGGTCTAGATAATAATATTATTTACAGAGACCCAACAATTCCCACCAAGAGCAAGCACTAGGCGACAGTGGCAAGGAAAAACTTCCTTTTAAGAGGCAGAAACCCGGAGCAGAACCAGACTCAGGGTGGGCGGCCATCTGCCTCGACCGGTTGGTTTGAGAGAGAGAGAGCGAGAGAGAGAGCAAGAGAGAGCACAGAGGAAAAGAACAAGGTCACAGGTCTGTAAAGTTAAATAGACACTCATTAACATCTGTATTGCCTGTTCTGCTGTGCAGGAGGAGGATTCGTTTGTGCTGTGATGAGCTGAACATGCTGGTGCCTTTCTGTGACTCAGATACAGACAAAGTCACCACCCTGCAGTGGACCACTGCCTTCCTCAGCTACATCAATAAAACCTACGGAGACACCTTCAAAGAGGTACGTTTGTGTGGAGTTGTTGAGTTAAAACATTGATGAAAAACATTTTGACTTGATAATCCTGCAACTGAATTATTTGAGACTCAAAACCAGGGGCTGGAAGATGAGTGCTTTATTACATTTCCTCTTGTTGAGTTATAATACTGCAGCAGACTCGATATGACTTTTGTTATTTAGAGAGTTCAAATCAAATTCCTCTTAGTTTTGAAGATTAAAATCAAATAAACTTTATCATTTTACTGTGATGGATTATCCAGTATTGCAGTTTTCAATTGATTTACGTACTGAAAAAAGATTGGCAGTGAATTAAAACAAGCCCTCATATATCCAACCACATTCTGCTAACAGTGTGCAGCACCAGCACCACCTAGAATAGAAGGGAGGGGCAGGCTAGATACGCTAAAAAAAAGTAAAATAAAACATTACTGATACAATATGTCATTAACCACAATAATTTAATATTCTCCTTCTTTACAGGAGTTTCAGACTGCATTCACCGAAGAGAAAGGACTCTTTCTGAAATCCAACCCTTCTCCAGGCCAGGACACAATCCACCGGGAGATGGATGAGACACTGAGCATTCCTCTTGCTGTAGAACAATGACACCACTCCCTCCCCAATTATCACTATTTTATCTAATAAATCAGCTGGATATTTCAGGACATTTAACTGTGAAATGAGTTGAGGTTGTCTTATGAGGTCTGGCTGTGTTGTTACATTTTAAATGACAAAGTCTTCTTTTGAGAGGAGTTCTACTTGTGACATTACAATGATTTAGAAAGTAGAAGGTTTTCAGTCTCAGACCATGTGATGCTCAAACATGGTTTGAATTGCTAGGCAAGTGTTTCAATTGCCATGCCAGCTATTCTAACCCCCTCCCCTTAGAGAGCCAGCATTGGTTACAAGAAAGTCATCAACAGGTGGCACTGTTTCCCTTTGACAAATATAAGATAGTGTTCTAATGAGTACATTTCAGATCTTCACTATCATTGACTTAGCTAATCTTACTTATATTTGCATAGTTTTAATCCTAATTCAAATTTTGTTTACTCGCGTATTTTTTAAATTGTTTACATTGGTTAAACTTGGTTCATACAGTGTGTTCAGTTTTCGTCTCTACATACATTTAGTCTCTAATCACATATTTTGCATGGAAATAAGTGTCGCTGCCTTGTGAATTAATTGGGTTACTTAACTTTCATGGTGTTAAGCATATTACTCTGAAGTAAAGACTGTTCATTTGATATGTAGAAAAGAGTAATGTTTTACTGAAAAGTGGCTTTATTTGTTCTTTCTTACAACATGTCGCTGTAGCATCTTACTGTACATACAACAGTCACCCACAAATAATAAATAGTATTTAAAGTCATGTATATTTAATAGTTACAGCACCGGTAGTACATAGTGGATGTGGTCATTGCAGATTGAAAAAAAATGAATTTTTTACTTTGCTCCTAAGATTCTTAAACTTATTTTACAATGTCTGATGTATGCATCCACAAGTTTTATTTCGTTTGTGATTCTCAAATCCAGAGAATCAGCTTCACATGTAATTAAAAAAAAACAAGCTGTAAAAAAAAAAAAGACTATCAAAAGTTTAAAAATTTTTGCATTAATCTACACAATGTCTGGGCACCTGGTTATTTCTTTTTTATTCCTTTTACAACACATACACAGCTCTTCGACAGAGGCTTTTTTGCCTCTGGCACCTATTTCCATATTTTACAATGTAAGCTTGTATGCTGAGGTAACACCTGTGATTTACATTAATGGGCCATGATACATGCACATTCACTTCAGAGACAGTCACTGTTGTTTTTAGAGTGTCATCTGCCAGAAGGATGTTAACCAAAGTAATGGGGCATGGAAACAACATGTACAAAGTTTTTATACACAAAGGACTCATCATTCATTTTCCAGCTGTTTGTAAGTCAAGTCTTGTTATGTGATAGTATTTAGAGCAATGCAGTTGTTCTCTTGCACTCTTCGGTGCCTCTGTCCACTTTATTTTTGGATGTCACCTTGATGTTTTTGTCTCTCAGTTGCTCTGGTATTCACTCCTTGGATGTTCCTCTATTCCTCTCAAAATATCACATCTGTTGATGTTACTCTTCCCATCTTGTGATACATGTATTTAAATAAAGAGGACATTTTTGTGATCACTCTCTTCTTTCATTCCTTCCTTCCCTCACTTTTCACCCTTCCTCCTTGGGGTGGATGGTGTCAGGTTGCAGGAAGTCATGTTTAATGGTTTTTGGGGTTGGAGGATTTCCCAGCGACTGATGCTCCCTGGCAGGCTGATGTATCACAGATTCCAGGAGGTCCCTGGTGCCCAGTCCTACCTACCCTCCCTGGCTCTCCAGGCTCACCTGGATCTCCTGGAGATCCATCACGCCCATCTTTGACAATTCCAGGTACTCCTGGAAGACCTGTGGGAAGTATTTTAGTTAGTTTTAAATGCACAATCGATCTGACAATTTGGCATCAAATTAAACCCTGTTGAAGAAAAATCTGAAAATCTGTTTTACTGGTTTGATGTTAATGTTAATCCTACAAATTATACCACAACAGACCTTTCACACACAGGATATTTTCACATTGTAACAGGTGTAATTAATAACATTAATGATGGCGCCCTTCCATTTGTGCCAGTAAACAATTCATGTGTCTGCCTCCCCTAGAGCTGACACACCTGAATGGATTGCAGCCTTTATTAATCTTATTAGTTACATCTATATTTACAAGTCAAACTCTCTGCCATGAGTAAGGTCTATATATACCGTATAAAGTAACTTGGTAATCGGTAGGGAACAATGTTGTAGCACGTATGGGGCCACATACCTTGATATCCTTGGTCTCCAGTTGGCCCATCAATGGCTTTGCCAATGGGTCCCTTATCGCCTGACTCACCAACATCACCTGTTGTAAAAATAAATATTTAATCAGTGGTTGAAAGTAGAAACACAAAGCTCCACAAAAGAAAGGCCCATTTTGTTCAGCTAGCGTTTGAGAGGAACTTCACCCGAAAATGCACAACTGAGTGGAAGAACACCAGTTTAGGAGATTCAGCACCAACACTCGCTGCCTGCAACTCTTCTAGAGGTAAGCCATGCGCTTTATTCTCTTTATGATGCCTTTCATGATTATTATGCAAAATGATGAATGATTTTTGTGTCTGTCTGAATTTATTTGTGTAGTTTAGTGGAGTATGTAGTTTATTTCAATTTATGCTCTAATGATGCGCACGGTGAAGTCTGTATGTGTGTGTGTGTTGTGTGAGCAAGAGAGAGAGAAAAGTGGCTTCGACATATGCTATATTTTGTAATTTGTGGGGTTGTGTTGGTTGTTGACTCACTATAAAGCATTTACATCATAGATTGATTCTCAAACGCAGTTTGTGCCATCCCCCTGCTAAAGTTACCCTAATGCCCACTGATTAGATTTGTTATGATGCAGAGCTTGCTGATTTTATTTTTCATACCTCTGGGACCAGGGTCTCCAAGTTCTCCTGGCAGGCCTCTGTACCCTGGTGGTCCACGGGAACCTGGATGCCCAATAGAGCCAGCAACTCCTGGCTTTCCTGGAGACCCAGCAGGGCCCGGGCGGCCCACCATTCCAGGGGCCAGGGGTCTTCGAAGGTTAGCGGCCAGCTGTGCAATCTGATCTGCGTGATAGAAAACACAAGAAGGTGAATTTCCAGCTTACCTTTTATTCAATACTGGAATTAATTATGAACAAAAGTTAATTCAGATCTCTCACCATCAATCATTGAGCCACACAGCTCTCTGATGTGCTGCTCACTTGCCAGTTTACCCTGAAGAGACATTTTAAAGAGTAACCTCATTCATGCAGTTTATTAGAAAACATTAACATTTAATACACTTCCATCAGTCAGAAGCTTTTTACAATTTTATACAGATTAAAAAAAAAACACTCACAGGTACACCGTTCTTTCCTGCAATTCCAGGCAGACCCTGTTCCCCCTGGAAGCCCATTGGCCCTTGTTTTCCTGGAGGCCCTCTTGCACCAAGCTCTCCTTGTGGGCCTGTCACACCCTTAGGTCCCAGTTCACCCCGTTTCCCGGGCTATAATCAACAAGAATTACTGTTAAATAACTCATTATATTTTGCAAAAATTAAAAAATCAATTTCAAACAAGAGCTAAAAACATCCATAAGCATCTGATTTGATCATTGACTAAACACCAACCAAGGAGCAAACTGGGTCTGTTGAGACAATGCGGGGGCGGATTCATATGGCGGCTCGTTGCTTGATAATTACTCCGACGAGCACAGCAAACAGTAAATGAGACTAAGAGAGTGAGCCTCATCATTACCATGTCTCTAGTTACATAAATTGTGCTGCAGCTTAATGTGACTCGTCTCTCCCTTGTGGCGATAGCAGCAAACAGGCCAATAAAGCTAAAGCAGCAATACCTATCTCTAATTAATCCTATTAAACCTGGAATGTGAGGCTGAATCATGTGCAATGACTCTGACAAGTGGGCAACAGCTCAGAGCAAGGCACCAGTTTTTAATGTTCTGTGAGGGAGCAGAGACAGAGGGAGTCTGGAACAAACTTGTGCTGCTAATTACACCCACACACAACATCTAACTGTGTTTTGTGCTCAGACATCTGCACCCAGGGGTACCTGTACCTGTACCCCTGGGTAGGAATAGGTTGCTTGGGGGTATGTGGAAAGATTATGGAGTAGCTCAACTGTTTTGAAAAAAAAAATAGAAATTACAAATTTAAATAGGAAAAAAAATTCATATCGGGTCAGTTATCGAGAAATAAATAAACCATTGAAATGGTTCGCTGAAAGTAATGGTAATATTTGGTGAAACCTGGTTTGGATGTAAAAGGTTCATGTGAGACTATGAAACTCTGAAAGTGCGAAAGGACAAAATAAATAATAATTAAAATACAAAAATTGTAAATGAAAACAACGACGCAGCTCACCTGTCCTTTTTGTCCAACTGGCCCAAAGGGACCCTGAAAAAAAGATAGGATTTTAGATCCAATCAATCAATGTCAACAAATATTAAACGTAAAACTCTGAGAAAGACCAGACAAAAAACTTGAAACATTTTAGAACATAAATACAATAAATTGAATAGTTACATAAGATTTAATAGATGGCTGAAAAACATTCTAATCAAAACACATCAGCACATTCAGCTGGTCTCAGATCTTCAGACAGACTGTGCCATAAAAACTAAATGCTGCCTCACCAAAAGCTTTAATCAGAATAACTAAGAGACTTGTGCCAGAAGACCTACGGGGCCGAATGGGTTGGTGCAAGATCATGATAAACATGTCAAAGAATTTTAAAATCATAACAGAAAGTGACTGGCAACCAGTATAAAGACTTTTTAAAAACTGTAGATGTTACAAGTTCTCTCCTTCTGGCCCTGGTCAGCAGTCAGACAGCAGAATCAACTTTACAACTCATTACTGCTGATTTACTGTGTTTGGATTCTGACTGAGGACATAAAATAAAATACATACAAAAGACAAAACTTACAGGTTCTCCGTTCTCTCCAGGTAAACCGTCACTTCCTGCCACACCCTAAAGAGACAACAGAAGATCTGAATTATTTGATTTTTTTTTTTCATGTGTGTTTTGTACATGACTGAAAATATTCTATTATTCCCTGTTGAGCTGATAAAACAGTTTCAGTGTCATTGTTAAGAAAAACGAACACAGAATTTTTTGTCTTATTTATGAAACCCATGTAACAGCATCTAAGATAATAATTTCTCAGGTATAACCTTTGAACTGGTTCAGTTGAGGTCATATTTAACCATGACTCGTTTGAACTTTGACTCTGAAGTATTTACCATGTCTCCTTTAGCTCCAGAAGCTCCAACTGGACCCTATAGGGGTTGAAGAAGGAGAGAGAAAGAGAATAAATGAGAGCCATGTAGAGACGTTTGTGGAAGACCGGCTGTGGGAGAAGGAAGGGGGGATGAAGGGAAGTGAGGTGGGCTGTTTGAGGGGAACCAGGACTGGTATAAAGACAGGCTTTGTTCTAACTTCAGATTCTGAACAGGAGGCCGCTTTGTATTTGAGCTCTCTCCTGGCTGCAGTTTGAGTTTATACCACTGACTGGGGAGGGACGACCTGGTTATTGACATACGGTACCTTCCCATGAAGACAGCTGGACAGTTACATATCTCTGCTGTGCCTGTGCAGACACTTTTGTCAAAGCTTTATATTTGAATCTTTAGGACTGGCCCTTAATGGAGATTTTTACCTGTTTTTTGTTGTCGTTTATTTATAAAATGTATTAGACCAATTAGTTGATTAGGTGATCAACAGAAAATCTGCTACTGTTTTGAGTATCGATTAATCGAGTCAAGATTTAAAAAAAAAAATTAAAAATTCTCTGGTTCCACTTTCTCAAGTTAGAATAGTAGTTTATAGTTTGAAAAGTTTTCTTGTTATCTAAAATCTTTGGGTTTTGGACTGTTGGTCGGACAAAACAAGACATTTTAGGACGTAACAATACATCTTTGCTATTTGCTGTCATTTTATAGACTAAATGCTTAATTGATTAATAGATTAATCATTAATAATCATGTGCTGTATCATGGATTACACTGGGTGGCATTAAACCCTGGGACACTTCATATTACCACACATGTCAAACTCACCCTATCACCAAACTCTCCACGGATTCCTGTTGGACCTGGAAGACCTGGATCCCCCAAGGCTCCTTTTACCCCCTGCAGCACATGATTCACACAGTTGGTAAGTTAACAAAAAATAATAAAAAAACAATAAAAAAAAAAAATTAAAAAAGATGATGATTAGCAATTTCATGCAACTGACCTGGTAGCCTTTCACTCCCTGGGGCCCAGGGTTGCCCGCTGGTCCAATACCTCCCTGTTGGAAACAGATATTGTCATGTCCTCCTACTAGGAAACGCATATCGTCCCAAAACAACTGGTTGTTATTGACATATCACTGTTGTCGAGATTTGAGAGAAAAAGAAAAGACGAGATGGACGTGATGATTGTGCGAGGTATGATTCATTATGCAGTGCAGAGTGCGATAGAAGTATGTTAATTCCTATGATGTTTTATCCTTTTACCTCGCCACAGGGGCTGATGTGAGAAACAAAGACCTCTCTGTTTATGAATTCCTCTTTTAGGAAAATCTGCTCTCATCACTGGCCCGTCATTTCTTCTCACTCCACCTCACAGAGCCACTGAATCAGCAGCAATAATCTTAGTGCCTTTGTAGCAGAATATCATTAACTTTGAAGGGCAGTAGTTTATCATCCTGCTATTCCAGTTTGATCTCATATTCATGCTGTATGCTGCTATGCATTGTGGTCTTTAAAGCTGAGTGCTTTATATTAATACCTTGTCTTTTTCAGTCATTTTGCATTCAAATATCCAGACTGGTTATTAGAGCTGTATATTGGAGACTGAATCTAAATTCTGTAAACTGGTTAAATTTAACAGATGGCCATCTGTGCAGCAGAAAGTCTCATAAATTGGCTCGTAAATGGGGCAAAGATTATTTTTAAATGTCCTGTAATAGATGCTTTTGAAGCATTTATAGCTATGCAAGCAGCGCAGCAATTTGAAAACAGACATATACATACATTAGCTTATAAAGCAACCATTAACTCACAGCCACTCCTCTGGGTCCTGCTATCCCCCTCTCTCCTGGGACGCCAATCTCACCCTGAAGGGAGCAGAGGAAAGATGTTGCAGACAAGTCAGGAAAGTTTCGAGACCAGACTCGACTTTGTTAAAGTTTCATGTGGGTAAATGTCACAAAACTGTAACCCAGTAATATCCCCAAAAGCCCATCAGATACATACAGGAATACCTGGCTCTCCAGAAGGTCCTGTCTCCCCAGCCTTCCCTTCATCACCCTGGTGTAAAAGGAGACAGAAGATAATAGTTGTCCACCATGGTCTTAATTTTAGCTTTAAGGTTGATGTCTGTTTGTAATACTCACAACTACTCCTTTAGATCCCTTTGCACCAGCCTTTCCTTGTAGACCCTGCAACAGAAAATACACAACAATGAAACTTATCAGTTTTTCAACAGAGGGTGTGTTTAGGACTATTCACTTATAATATTTTCATAATTATACTAATTTGGTTTACCTATTCAGGAGCTGAACACACCTTTTTCACAAATCACAAGCAGTGATTAGGACTGACTTTGAGAAAATGAATGTGCAGAATGGTACTGAGAGAGACTTAGAATGAAGACAATGAGATAAAGGACATTTAACTGATGTCCTTTATTATCAATTAGATAGGAAACACCCAAGTCTACTTTACAATACTTACAGGAAGGCCGTTTGGTCCTTTCTCTCCAACTACTCCATGGCGTCCAGCATCACCCTGTCAACACAAACAACGCTGTGACTGTGACATCAGTCTTGTCATAGCAGTAGACTAGCAACTACATAAAGCAAAACCTCATACAGGAAGAAAAGGTGCAACAAACCTTCTCGCCATCTAATCCTGGTGTACCATCTTTGCCGTCTCTGCCAGGAATACCCTGTAGAACACATCAAATATGATCAACGTGGTTCTTAGTGGCGACGTCAATGCAAAAGGTGTAATTTTTCAGACATGTACTTACAGGCTCGCCTTTGGGTCCTGCTCCACCTGGACCTCCTTTGGGACCAATTTTACCCTGTTCAAAGACACATTAGGGTGTCGCTTATACATCTTATATATTCTTGTGATAGTAATAGTCACAACTCAAAGTCTTTTACTTACAATTTCTCCTTTGGGTCCTCTGAATCCCTGTGGTCCTTTTTCTCCAGCGTCACCCTGGAGACATCAGATGAAACACACACAGCTATTCATTGATGGGACCAGCCGTCTATTCTAGCTGTATACTACTATCAAACACTGTTTTTATTTATAGTGTGTTACAAACAAGGAGAGACTCACTGTCTTCCCAATGATGCCGGCGATGCCAGGTTTGCCTCTGAAACCAGGCAGACCCTACAGACAGAGTATGAGGTCAATTGAAGCATACATGTTTGAACACAAGTTAAATGTCTGTATTGAGAGTGATAAGAAGATGAAGAGGGGAGGAACAGATCATGTAAAAAGTTGCTCACTCTGTCTCCTACAGCTCCCATCGGGCCCTGTAAACCTCTTAGACCACGTGGGCCCTGAAACATTAGAGCATGGTGAGGGCACATTGTAAACTCACTCTGAATATTTCATAATTCTGTAAATGCTGCTTGGATGTGGTGTAGTAAATATCCAAGTTTATGAGTAGCCAAAAGGTGAAACAACGGCAACAATAACTTAAATAATATGGCATTTCCCTGAATAATCGTTTTGTCACTCACCTGCAGACCCACAGTGCCAGGAATACCTGGTGGGCCAGGTGGTCCAGCATCACCCTAGAGACAGAACAGGATACTTAGTATAGCATCAAAACAACAAATCACAGAAATTCGAGCAGCTGTACTCAACAAAACCAATAGTTTGCACATATTAGGTTAAGTCCATCCTTATGTAACCTAATCAGCCACAGAGACAGACGCCATAATAATTATGTCCCATGATAAACTCACCTTCTCTCCATCTTTTCCAGGTTCTCCTTTGTCTCCTTTATGTCCTGTGTGACCCTACATGAGCAAAAATACACAAGGGGTAAATACAGACACGCGTGTGCATGAGGAAATGTATTGTGAGAATGCAGGGTGACATGAGTTTTATATTATCTCAAGGATATATTGAGCAGCATCAAATTCACAACAAATAAAAAAAAGAACCATGACAGGAACTATATCTACCTTGAATCCTGGCATCCCAGGAGGACCGGAGGGACCAGGGGGACAGATTGCAGGACACTGCAGTGGACAGAGACAAAAACGACTGAGGGCTCTGTATGCAGAGGTCACAGCTTCAGTTCACTGTCATTACGCTGCTTTCACTGGGTGCATGATTGAAATCTTACCAGAAGGTCACCGTTAAGATCATGAAGAGTACCAGGAAGACCCTGAGAGAGGGAGAAATGACAACACACAGCAAGAAATCAGCGCACTCCTTTCCCACCAAATGGTACAGTGCTTCTGTGAATTCATAGACGTTCAACAAGAGATCCACTGTGTGGCAGTGGAAAAATATGTGACTATGTTGTACCAGCAGCACCAGGTATAAGGTATAAAATGATGACTCCACTTACTGGGGGTCCATCAGGGCCAGGAGGTCCGGGAAGTCCTGGAAGACCCTCAGCACCCTGAGAAATAAATAGAAGAGCAGCAAGATTAGTAGCATCTTCAGCACCTCAATCTAAAGTAACTGGTGAGATTTTAGAGCCAATCTCATCATCACTTAGGGAACTTACTTCAATCTACTCCACTAACAGGTGATAAAAAAGTAGTGGTCAATGATACTTGCAATATCTCCATAGACTACAGTATCCCTGACTTTGACCAAACAACAGTCCTCAGACTGACCCAAACTATAATACTGTACAACAAACTAGGAGTGTGGAGTTTGAAAGACATGGGCAATAACTATGTAGTGAGGATCCAAACAGTTGAATTAAGTGCAGGATCCAGTGTTTTTGGACTAATAGTTTGGATATCTCAACCTCAGCTGGTTGATCATTTTTCTCCACACTGATGCTGACAATACTGTAAAGTCCTCTGACTGAGCTTTCAATCACACATAAGCTGATGAATATGAGCACTGGACAATCCTAACAAAGCGTGACCCAGCAGAAACACTAGGCCTGTCTGACGTACTGAAGTGTCCTTCCTTTTCATCGGTTATTCTCATTCTCCTATAATATATGGAAATTTAGGATCATACAACAAAAAATTACTGGATCTATGTCTGTATGAAATTGACTGTTTCTGCTACAGAGGCTCATGTAGGATTTTTTGTGCAATTCACTAATTCACTAATAAATGAACTGGATGATAAGTTAATCGAGTTTTCTGTCGCCAACTGGGTGCTGAATCAAAGATGGAATAAAATTAAATAGATAACAAGAACCTCATTCTAAATCAGTCTATAAAACTCCTTAATAAGGATGACAGGAAGCCTAATTGGGGAGATCAGAGAGACACTCACCACTGGACCCTGGGGTCCAACTCCGCCTGGCAACCCGTTGGTTCCAGGTAGTCCCTGGAAACAAAAGACACCGGATGTGTGCACAACATCAGAATACATGTGTAGATGTAGCACACAATCTGGGCTACAACATACAGGACTGTAACATGTACAAACATACGCTCTCAGGATGCAAACAAAAAATAGTAAAGTGGAAAAAATATCCAAATACATCACTCTCTCCGTCTTTCTGCACGTAAGAATGACATAGAAAGGCAGTGCTGTGTACTCACTGCAGCTCCTGGTCTCCCTCTGCCCTACGGAAGACACAGGAAGGCAAATTAAGTCACAAACACCAAGGGATGATTCGATTTTCTCACAACATCAATATCCACCTCATGATGTAATACTGCATCAAATCCACTTTGAAAGTTTGTTGCTGGTCTTTGCTGTGAGGGGAATATGGACCTGTGCAGTCCAGTTAGATCAAAGTAAACATGTGATGCTTCCTCATCATCTTAATATGAACATGTATGAGCTGTATAATGGTATATAAAGCCTCTAGGAATTAGTCTTTTTAGGCTGTTGATAATTTTTGATAGTCAAAATGAGATGGATCTGTACATGAACTGACAGTCGTGTACCTGTGTGAGGTTTCTCAGGTGGTACAGAGTATGCGGGGGTACTTACAGGAGGTCCAGGTGGCCCAGGAGGTCCAGATTCACCCTAAAGAGAGCAAAGCAAAATGTCACAATCAACCTTTCAGACAACGTATGAACCCTTTGAACATAATTTTTTTGTGTGCATAGCTGACTGATATTTGGGATTGGTAATTTATAAAAAAAATTAAGAGAAGTCTTTAAGCACAAAATTTAGTGTACTCCAAGATAGTGAGGATATGAGAAGTCTTGAGAATAATGTAATCTGATATTTTGTAGATAATTACTAATAATGTTCATGAAGTATGTGAAGTATGCACAAAAATGAAAAGCTCTGTCCTGTTTTATTTTGCACAGTACATAGAACCAGTGTACTTACCACCAGTGTGACTACTAATGGGGGTCACCTTTAATCTAACTGGTTTGGTTATTTTAATGGTGGTAACTGTAAGGTTTTCTGTGTGAATCTGTGTGGTCACATTCCAGCTCGACACAATAAGAGACAGGAAGTGTTGTGATGGGAAGTGCTGTTGCTCTATATGGCTTCATTTTATATTCTATAAATACCTTCAAATTGGTTAAAAGTGTGTCTCACTGTAAGGGAATCAGTGATGAAAATACACTTGATATCTTAGGTGTTGTTTTGCATGATTAATGACTGACAGACAGATTTATGAATGATAATATAATTAATGATTAATTAATGATTAAACACCACAAAAACAGTATTTTTTCTGCTGCCATGAGAAGGCTGAGAGTCACAAACGCTTTGAATAATTGACTAATTGTTAAAGATACTGAGAGAAGAAAGTGTCTGCATCTCAGTAATTACTGTGATTAATACAATCATTTCTCAAAATCAGTTACTCTGATTGCATGTGTTGTGTGCCAATGCCAATGTATTTGGCATTGTTAATTGTGGAGAACACAATAATAATGTTTTGCAAGTCTTCTTTTTCCTTCACTAACTTCAGTTTGTTTACAAGCTCCATCTATTATTGCTGTCAAAAAATAAATACGTAAAACTTGTTTCACGCATAAATGATCAAACTGCAGTGTCCCTTCTTCTTTCCGTTCTAACCACACCGTGTGTCATGGTTTGCCGTGACAGGCTTTATGTTTGGTCTTTTGGACTGTTTTTATTTGTTTTATTTCCTGTTTTATTTTGTAATCACTTCCCTTTTGTGTCTCATGTTAGGTCTACTTCCTGTCTTTGTCCTGTTTCCCTCCTTTGTGATTGTCTGCCCCGCCCTAATGTATTACACCTGTGTTCAATCACCCTTGCCTCGTTGTGTATTTAGTCTCTGTGCTCACTTGTCTTTGTCAGTCTCAGTTGATATCTTGTTGAAACCCTGTTTTGCTCCAGTGTTCCCTTGTTGTATCCTGATGTACTCCAGCTTAGCTCTTCGTTTTGGATTTTGAGTTCTTTGCTATTTTACCAGCTTTGTAAGTTTCCTTTTGTTTATTAAAAATACCTTCTTTTTTTCCCACCCCTTTTGTGTTAGCTGCTTTTGGGTTCTGTTTCCCCTAAACCCGACACTGTGATCGTTTCTCCTTCTCCTCCTCCTCCTCCTCCTCCTGCAACCCTTTGTTTGCCCTTCACAGCTGTATTTGTGTTGTCTGAGAGGTGAGAGGGCAAAAGACTCCAAATAAACGGGCCTGACACAGCGATGTTACAATTATGTACTGCATTCCTCAGTGTGCAAACGAGACAGCAGGCTATACTGGCACACAAATAAACTAGTAAACAATTGCCTCTGAATACAATAATAAGAAAATGTACCTAAAATTATGAAAAAAAAAACCAATCTGTATTGTGCTGTGAAAATGACCAGTTGTCATTTCTGTTAACTGATTACTGTATATCTGCTTTACTGCCATACATTGGCTTATTCTTTGTTAGACTCCTCCAGCCTGATCCTGTTTGTCTTCGCATGACTCTTCAGCACTATGAGCCAGCAATAACACTGTAGTAATCTGAGTAATTAGGGACATTGGTTGATGCAAGCTTCCTCATTACGTTGGCTAATTAGTTGAATCGCTGGGGGCGTTTATGCGTCCTGACAGTGACTTTGCAGCCTTACAGCGGAGGTCCCTAAATATTTATTCCCTCATATCTTATATTTCATGTGGAAAATAAACGCCTTCCTGTTTAATCATAAAACATAGCAGTAGTTTGGTGTCACACGTGTTGTTATTCTGTCCTCTCTTGTATCTCTCACAGGATAACACCTGTTTCCCTCCGCAACACGGCAACAGATCATCATCCCCGACAGTCTCGCAGGTTGGTGGGAAACAGTGTGCATTCCGGGCCGGATTAGGGAAGCAGCAGAAATAAATCCGATTCTGATCCCTCATTAAAAATATTCCCACCAAGAGGCTGAGCCGGCTTGATAAATCCAGGCAGACAGGGGAAACACTAGCCGCAGCAACCAATCAGCATGGGTGAGTTTGCATACATGTTTGTTCGTGTGTTTTGCAAGTGTTTGACTTCTGATTAATGAGGGGCAGTTTGAAGAGGAGAGGTCATAAAACTCAATTGGGTGAATCTTTAAGTGGATCCTCAGCATCCCACAAAGATCACAAGACTAAAACACACTTACTGCTTCCCCTGGGGGTCCGTCCTTCCCAGCAGGACCATCAGGACCTGTCAAACCCTGAAAAACAAGGTACATCATTCAGCTGAACGTCAGTGCTGTTGTTTTGAACATTGTCAATACTGAATCATTCCAGAAACTTCACTGGTTTGAGCATTGATAAAGGCAGAGGTGGTGCATTGATGTTGGTGTAAGAATTAGCTGTGTGTGTGTGTGTGTGTGTGTGTGTGTGTGTGTGTTGGACACTTACATCCACCCCTGGAAGTCCTGGCAGGCCTGGTTTTCCTGGTGATCCTGGTATTCCTGCTTTCCCTTTGGGACCCTACACAGACAGAGATTTATGAAATAGTGCACCTCTACTTTTTTAAAAATTATCTTAACGTGGTTAAAGCATTTTATTTGGAGATCATTCCTTACTCAAATCAAGAGTCTAAGAATAGAGGGGATAGAGGATTTTGTGCAATATAAGGGACTGTAAAAACTATTAGGGAGAGAGCAGGGGTCAGAAAAGGAGAAAGGGTACTGTGATTTTTCTTTTGTCTCAAATTTGAGTAGTCTGGCATTTTTGGGGGAGCAAGGAGCGGTCTTTCATTTTCTTCTTACTCTAAATTCATTATTTGTTTTAGCTTTCCTTTGCAATTACATAAACAGTAACATCAAAAACACGACTTTCCTTTGGGCCATGATGATGTGCTTTGCTATATGTTTTGTGTCTGCACCAGGTTTTTATCAATGTGAACATTAGTGGTTCACATTTGAAGTTCTATAATGAGTTTAAGGATTAAATTGAGGTGCAAGATTGAACAAACTGTACGAGCTTAACACTTCACTTCAATATCATTTTGACATGCCATGGAAAGGATTTTGCATTTGTTTTATTAGTTAGGAGAAAGGTTCAAAGAAAATATTAATAACTTTTTGGAGGGCCTTTCTTTTTTAAAAACTAAAACAAAGTTCAGATGCCTTTACCACCCCAGCAACCTTTATACAGTCCTTAAATAAAACTGGCTTGACTTATTGGAATACTTACTGCTTTCCCTGGCAGTCCAGAAGGTCCAGGTTTGCCCTGTTAATTATAAAGAACAAATAAATATCATCACCATAGACAAAAACATTCCTTTCATTCATTCTCACAGTTCATTTGTGGTACTTGAACGCTCCAGATTAATCTAGGATTATACAAATGAAGCCCCTTAAATTCCACTGCCATACAGGCCCAAAGATGTCCAGTGTCTGCAATGACTGTAGAGTCAAACTTCCTGTTTCAAATTCATCAATAACTTGTAATACCAACAACAGGAGTGGTAAAGAAACTCAAAAAGTGAGTCTCTGGTCTGCAGCCTCAGTGTATAGGATACGAAGTTTAGCTTCTGCACCAAGTGGGGAAGAACAAACACCTCTAAACCGACCCGTTGCAGTCTGGTCACATGATAAAAGCCTCCGTTTGGTTTGAACAGGGGGGGCTGAAGGTGCAGGGAGGAGGTGTGAGGTGAAACTCTAGATGGTCTCACAGGGTTGGGGAATGTATGAATGGGCCCTCTGTGTGCCTAAACCTTACAGGAGTCCCAGAAATATCAACAACTAAAAAAAAAACACAGATTTTTGGACATGGAAATACAACATCTAGAAACATTTTTTTCATTTAGCAGAAAAATTGGACAAAAATCATAAAGACATAAATATAAAGGAAGTAAAAACTTAGAGGGGTTTCCAAAGTGTGTCACCATGTTTTTCTTTTTACTTGGCTTACCCATAATCCAATTTCCTCTTATAACTTGTACAAATGAAGTGTCACTGCATCGTTTTTACTCTTATTTCTACCACAACATGATATCCTACATACAAGCACAACCCCTTACTCTGTAAAGAATCAGGGGGCTTTAATTTCAGTGGATTTTTATTGATCTGACCACATTTATTGACAAGATACACACAGGTCAGGCTGACTGATATTATACTGTATGAGTTAATGTGACCAACTAAAGAATAAGTACAGGCCATTCATATTATGAATATAATGTAATGGAGGGTGTAATAGGAAGGGATAATTAACTAGACAGTTTTTCACTCGCAGAAGTCTATAGAGTAAATACATGCCTAAACCCTGCCTCCCTGACATCCATGATTATGATTTAATACTTGTAGGTGGGGCTGTGGGCGGAGTCAGTGTGATAAAAACTAACATCTAGACACATTTTAGCCACATTTATGCACAAAGAAAACACTTTCTACCAAAGGTAACTGAATCTTGAAATACATCCTGAATAAGACGTGAAGCCACTGAGCTGTCCAGGGAACTTTCACTTTAGTGTCTCAGGCACAAATTTAAATAAATATTTGTCACATTTTTGGTAATCTTGATCTGTAATCTGACAATTGCATTGAGAATGTAAAGAAATCACAAATTACTCATAAAAAAAAAAGGAGCTGATATTTTCCTTATCTACTTACTGCAGTTGATTGACTATTAAATCTTAAACACATTAGCTTAAAGTAAAGAAACTCCTGGAGTCTGGTCAACTCACATCAGTGCCATCCCTTCCCGGTGGTCCTGGGGGTCCTGGTGGCCCAGCAGCTCCCCTGGGGCCCGGCCTCTGCAAACACAAATTTCATCAAAATCATGCATTTCTCCCAATGTAACTTTAAAGCATCCACACTTCTTTTGATGCAGCCACCTCAAGAAAAGATGTGTAGATCTGAGAAAGTGATACAAAATATTTGGTGTCAAGACAGCGGGAATTAGTAAAATGTAAACTCAAGACAATATCAACGACATGTAATAATTCGGTCTAATTATAAAGATATAATTGGAAATACATTTTTCAATACAGCTGCAACACAACATGAAAACTATGATACAAATATGAACGTGTAGAGATGCTTCACATATTCCCTTTCCACACAAGAGGAGGGCTAAACTAGATTTCTACAAAAACATAAATAAATTAGTAGTTCACGGTTCATTTAAACAAAATAAAGTTATTTCACTGAGGACTCTCTAAATGAGCTCCAGAGTGTAGCTCAGTCAGGGAGCCTGAATGAACAGAGGTGGCATTGTGCGCTGTGGCACTGATCTCCAATCGGCACATTCCTCAGGTTCAGGGAAAACATAACCCCGACTTCATCAACTGGTGCGAATGGCACAGCCACCTGCACACAATTAGACTGATATGACAGAGCATAGATAGGCCTACAGAACCGGAGAGGCAAAATACCACCTATGTTCAATCATATGATAAATATACAGGAAGAATACACTGTGTGTGACTGTACAGCTAAGAAACAATATTGAGAGAAAGCGTCAGGTTTTAGGGTGAAGAAGGATGCAGCTCAGGCCTAAAGCATCTGTGAAAGTGACTGCCATCATCAGTACCATCATCAACACGAGAGAGAGCGTTTATTATCAACAGGTGGATCCGCAGGTCACACGAACTTACTGCAAAAAGTTCAGATAGTGAATTATACGCCACCAGCAAAAAGACTAAATCAAGCTGCAGGCGGAGTGAAAAGACGGATGCGGCACTTGATAACCCTTACCTGGGCTGAGGATGATGTCAAAAGCTGGCACAGTAAGAGCACCCACAGAGCAGAGAACACCGCCATGGCTCCCCGCGCGCCCTCACAAACCCGATTTTATGTGGAAAAGGTCAAATCCCCGGTTCCCGGTCCTCTCTCACTCCCCCCCAGCGTCCGCAACGGATCCTTCCTTCACTTCACGGCGCACAGCTCCTGAATGGCTTTCTCTTTGGTTCCAGATAAACCCGAGCCTCCAGCCGAAGGGGCTGAACTCAATGTAGCGCGCTGTGCACAGGGATGAGGGGGGTGAGGAGGAGTGGGACTGGTAAATTAGGCAGTAAGAAGAGGGGAGACCATTCCGGACAGGAAGAAAGTGGGCCGAGCTAAAACTGTTAAAAATATGCAGGGGTTGGTCATTTGGCCAATTACAAACTGACCTAAAACACAAACCCCCATGTCTGCAGGGTAGAAAATGTTGAGCTCCTTAGGGGGCTCTGTAGTGTTACCATATAGTACAACAACTGAAAAAGGGAACTATATTATTTAGATTTATAGGGGAATAAATCAACTCTTCAAAAACGATGGATCCACATTTCCCATAATGCAACAGCATATTTTAATTAAAACCCCCGTATTACATTTACAAGACCAAGTTGATATAATGGCATCATTAAGGTTATTTTCTAAGATCTGCCAAAGCTGCAGAGGTACAACTGTTTTCATAGACTGACTCATGTTGAGTAAAACTGGTTTTGATATGTAAAATAAGATGGATTTCCCATTTGCCAATTAAGGTTTTAATCAGAATGAAATCTGAATCAAAAGATCTCTCTTCAAGAAGTCAAGGCTTTTCCAGTTTAATCTGATAATGTAGTTTAGTGGTTCTTTAAAGCACCATAACAGTATGTAGAACCATTTCAGCAAGAACCATTTTTGCAGCAGTGTAGAATGGTATGGGTGACAAAGTGGAAAGCTCAGGTTTCCAAACATTGTTTTTATTGATTCCCCATCTGTCACTAGACAACTACCGATTATTGTGAATTAATCTGGAGATTATTTTACTGATTAATGGATAAATAGTTTGGTTAATAACATCAGAAAAATACTGAAAAGTTTCCCAAAGCCCAAAGTGATGTCTTTAGATGCCTTGTTTTGTTTAAATTTACTCACTTAAAATATATTGAGTGAAATTAAGTAAAAATTGAGTGGAAATAAATTGATTAAATAAAATGTAGTTACATTTGTGCAATTAAATTAGATCATTTGAGTGAAATTAATCCTACCAGTTCAGTTGCAGTTACATGCATGTTTGTCCAGATGCATACATGGTTCACACACATCTTCAACTCAGCAGAACAAACAATCTATGCAATTACCACAGTTCCATGGTCGCCACCCACCATTAGTGTCACAAGTTTAGTATCCAACTAAATGTGATGGTCACAATCTCCCCATATGTTTCTGAGTTATGGCTTTCAATAATGGCCAGAAGTGTTGTTTGAAGAACATTATAATGTCACAGTGAAGTTGACCTTTGACCTTTTGGATAAAATGTCATCACTTCATCATTTTATCCTGTGTTAAATTTTGTCATAAACAGAGAATGAATTCTTGAGTTATGGCCAAAAACATGTTTGGTGAGGTCACAGTCACCTTGACCTTAGCCTACCAAAATCTACTCTGTTCATTTTGAGACCAAGTGAACGTTTGTGCCAAATCTGAAGAATGGGAGAATGGGCATTCACAAGAATGGGACAACCTGAAAACATATGCGGAGGTGTATAAAATAACTTAAAATATATAAATCCACTGTCATGGCAAACAAGCACATTCTGAGCACTATGGGATCTTAATTTACAATAATCCAACAAAATGTGTTAAGAATTTTATTTATAATATTCCAAACGGGATGGGTAGAGCTATAGTGGCTAGCATGGACAATGCAATAATGAACAGCAAGCTCAAACAGTATTTACTGTCCTAATTCACACTGATCCTGAGGTCTGAACAAGCTATGTTGCATCAATATCTCTGTTCAACATCTTTCTTCTTGTGAGTCATGCCACTTCGCTACGGCAGTCTGTTTGTTGGGGGAAAAAAAGACCAATATTTTTGACTATATGTTGCTGCAGTGTGAAATGAAAGAAGAATCTCAGGAATAGGAGTGAAAGCTGACAGTGTTATCCTGAGAACTGCAATTTAATACATCACAACAGGACTCAGACTTTGACTAAACAGATTAATGTCATAAAAGCATCAGAAAATAGTATAACTTTATTCTGCTTTGTCAACAGCCAGGTATTTACTTGGGGGAAAAAAAGTAACATATATAAAGAATTCAGCACTTTTGTAAAGTTATTAACATTTCATTATGTAAATACCATAACTTCAACAATTAATATTCAAAATGAAGTGCAAATATAGAAAGATGCATCAATATAACCACCCTGGCTTGTTAATATTCATAGTCTGCACCATCTCAAATTAACTTACAGCGGTCTTTAAATTATAGCCAAAGATTAATCAGTTCTGCCGAGAAGACATATGTATCGTACAATCAATCAGTCTCATCTCATTTTTGGCAGTTGTTCAAAAGCCTACTTCCAAAATCTGCATGAATCCATACAGATGTGCAACATTATTGAAATATAATTTAAGTGACATTCAGTCTTAAATCCATTTGAACAGCTGGATCCAGCAGAAACACAAACAAGTACAGAAGTAGTTTTTACTTACATAAAAAAACAGCTCAAAAAGGGGAAAAAAAGCTCTTCCAATTAATCATTTTTCAGTGCAAAACAAAACGGTTCGATTGTGAAAGTAGTACGGTGTTAAAAATGCTGAAATCATCATTTCATTGACATACATTAATAATAGTGCCTTATGTATTCTGTAGAGATATTTCATATCAGTTGCTGACAGTCTTAGTCATTACTACCTTAAAAGGATAAGTCTGGTAATATTGTATATTTTTCTTATTGTCAAGAAATCCAAGAAGACCAAAACCAAGAATGAATTTAACCTACTCACACATTATAGTTTATTCCTCTGCCCCCTCTTCCAATGTTAAATTATCCAGTGTTGCACTTGGTGACACATTTCTTCATTACAATAAACACAGGCACTGTAGTTTAAGTCAATCCCACATACACCATCGTGCTGCTATAAACACTGTAGTCCCAATACTGAAAACAAAACACAGTTTACTCCTGTGGCGAAACCAGCTGTAAAACTATATAGCCTTTGAAAAATAAGACTAGATATTCTTGACCTGTTTAAAGATTCATTTCTTTTAGTAGGAACCATTGAGCATGGAGCTAAGTGCCACAGACAGGGTAGGGAAGTCGAAGTATTGAGACACCAACGCTTTTGGTCATTTCATAGGATTTTCTGAAACAAACAAACAAAAAAAAAAAGTAGAATATCACCAGCCTTATCCTCGAAAACTGAGTCACATCCAGTCTCACATTTGGTGAATTAATCAATCCATATACTCCTTCAAAGTGAAAAGAATCAATATCTAAACATCAAATATAGTAGAAATAAGGCCGAGAAAGTCTTTTTAAAGTCATACTCTGTCCCTATGTTAAGTTTCATTTAAGGTCAAATTCATGTATTTTCTCCAATCATCCAGTTTATTCATGAATTCCCCACATTTTGGTCTGAGCTTGAGGGGTTTGATGCCATATCCATATCCTCCAACTCTTTCCCATTTCTCTGTTCATCCACAGGTTTGTCGGTGCTCATCAGTGACCCATTTGTTGCTGACACATTTTCCTGCGACATGTCTCCTTCTTTTTTATCTAGCACTTGATTAAAATCAGTCCTTGGGATTTTTTCCTCCCTCCCAGAAGAAAGAGAGGGAGAGTGTTTTGAGGTCTTATGGGGTGTTTGTGCTGACGGGCTCATTTGACCAGTGGCTTTATGAGCACCAGCTTTTTCCTCCAACTGCCCACTGGCTGAGTCCCAAGCAGAGCCGTTGCTTGGCAACACCTTGTTATCTTCTCTCTTCTTCTTCGGTGGTTTTTCAGTGTCTATGTCCCCATCTGTTTGCATACTGTTGTCTGGCTCCTGGATGGTATCCTTTGAGTTGTTGGTCAATTTGTGGTCACTGTCCTCACTGGGCTCAGTTTTTGCCACCACAGTGTCAGGACTGGGTGACTGATCCATTTCATCAACATCATCTGTAGAGTCATTTCCATTCCCTAGAATTTCCTTATTAGGCTCAGCTTCTGTTTTTCCATTTCCAACAGTCTCAGCTTCTTGTTTTGGCTCAGGGGATGCCTCTGACAGTTTGTTTTTGTCTTTATTTGCTGTTTTATCAGTTCCTTTCTGAGTCTTTGTAACATTATCCAATCCATCCTCTTTTTGTTGCACAACTGCCTCTCCATCTTTGCTTTTACCCCGTGAATACACTTCATCTTTTCCATCTCCATTCCCAATGGCATCAGATCTTTTCTCTGCCTTCCGGAATTGTTTCTGAATCTTTCTGGGACACCACACAAACTTATCCTTTGGCTCAAAGTGAAGGTAGGCAAAGCGCACAAGCTCCTGACGTTTCTGCTTGTCCAGCACAGCAAACAAGAAATAGTCAAGCACGCTGCGTTTAACACTGCTAAGGGTCTTCTTGACCAGAGTCTCTTCAAGAAAGAAGCGCACAAGTGGGGCCTGATAGCGCTCAAATCCCAGCTCCCCAAGGCTTTTCAGGATGCGAGTGATGCGCAGGTTGTTGTGCATATTCCTGCAAGAAGTCAGACGGTTGAAGCTGAAATTACAAACAAAAACGTACATATCTCAGAAGTTGCTTAAGTGACAATATCTAATACTTACCGTTCCAGGTTGCCAAAGCGCTCCTTCCAATTTTCTGCACGTTTCACTTCCCCTGTCTCTTTGTTGACCAAACGGATGCCATAGAAGCCCAACATGAGTTCATAAGACTCAACTAGTCTCCTTTTGGCATCCTCATTCTTCTTAAAAGCCTAAGGAGCATATACAGTGGAGATAATATAAATTTGAAAAAATTGTGTGACATTTCTACAGCTTTTATGATCATGTAATGACAGTAACATGGGTCAAAACATTTGAATAAATAAATGAAAATCATTATGTTAAGCAGATATGCAGTTTCCCAAAGCAGTAGTTAAGAGCAAGTGCATGTGCATGCC